GTTTTTTTCAACGCTAGTAGTAACAAGAAGCTAGTAGTAACAAGTGCCACGCTAGTAGTAACAGGTGCCTTACTAGTAGTAACAATGTTTGCTAGTAGAAACAAGTGCATCGCTAGTAGTAACACGTCCCGACTCATGAAGTGCTCGCTTCGGCGGCCTGGTGGTGCTTCAAGTATTGCATCTTGTAGTTGGAGCCCTTCCCCAAGGCATAGATGTGCACCTCGAGGAGGTGACGAGGAGGCGGGACTGTTAGCAGGCCGTAGGCAAGTAACTAGAGAAGCGACAGACGAAAGCCCATGCAAAGACGAACAACAAGAAGAACATGAACTTTGATCAAAGTCGTGTCAAAGTGATCAAAGGCACCACACATACGATTCTTCTTACTACTAGTAACAAGTGCCTTACTAGTAGTAACAAAAAGTTACTACTGGTAAGGCACTTGCTACTGGAAGCGATGCACTTGTTCCTAGTACCTTATTGTTTCTAATAGTAAGCACGCCTTACTCAGTGCCTTCTTCATTGAGGTCTTTATGACGGTAAGTTTGCCGACCGCGTCCAAGTCTGTACAGCTGACCGCGTCCATGTTTGCCGGGGAATAGCCACACTGATACGCACAACTAGACAGGCTGCTGTCCACTTTAAATGGTATCATGGCCACTTGTGATGGTAATGATGCACCATTGAACTTTTTTGGCATCACTCCCGTCACCAAGCCGCTTACAATCATGCACTTCGACTACATTTTGTCGACCCCCTTGATCTGGGGCGCCAACAAGAGTGTCCTTTTCTATGTGTTCTCACAAATTGACGCTGGCATACTCTGACAAACTCTACCATAACATGTCCCATTCTATGGATTCTGATCACCCACACATGGATTCTAAATAAAATTACTACTTGACGCTTTTGTATGCGTTTGTTCCTTACTGCCTTGGTCATTTGTGAAAAAATGTCATTTCAAGGTCCGAAGGACACACCCTCGGCTCAGATTGAGATGGAGAAAGGAAGGAAGGAGTGGTAGTGGATAAACGATATACGATATACAATCTACTACGATAAATCAAATCGCAGAAGGTTCGCCTCTTTGTTCTCAGAGCCTGAGATCAGGTAGCCTAAGCGTCAGCTGTCAGCTGTCTGCGTGTCGTGTCGTCGTGTCGTTGTGCTTGCGTGTCGTGTCGACGCCCTTTTCCAGGCCTTGGCCGGAGGGCGAGTAGCAATTCTTCAACGGCAGAAGCTCATGCCTTGGCTTCGACACGACACCACACTCTTAAGACCTCTTTCGTGCTCTCCTTCTCCTCTATCTCATTCTCCTTTGACTCCGCTCTTGTAAAAGAGTCCACGGTCTCCTTTTGTCTTAAAACTCTCATCTTTCATTTCTCGACGAGTCGACGAGTGACGCCACTCGGACACGATGTCGAACGGTGAGATTGGTCAGGACCTGAGAAGAGAAAACGATCCTTTTTCCGTTTCTTTCTTGTTATAGCAAACATTGTTCCTAGTAAGGCACTTGTTACTAGCGATGCACTTGTTCCTAGCTTCGTTTCCCTCACGTGGTCCTGAGTTAGGAGACTCCCGTGGAATAGGTGCAATCGATGATCGTGGCCGAGCAATCGGAGGTGTTCACCAACAAGCATGGCCTCGACCGTCAGACGGTCGGTAACAGGTTTCTATTTCGCTTTGGCTCAACCTATTTCTGCTTCTCTTTTCGCTTGTCTTTCAAGCGTTGAGCCAAGCATCAACTTAGGCCACGGCGGCTGGTTATGGGCTGCAGGGACGAAGGTAATGCACGTGACGCCTGAACGGAGCGATGGCCGGAGCCTCCAATAAGTCTAATTTGGGAAAGGCTAAGACATTTTATGGAAGAAGTAACGCATAAGAAACACGTGCCACGCTTCTAGTAACAGGTGCCTTACTAGTAGTAACAATGTTTGCTATTAGGAACAAGTGCATCGCTACTAGGAACAATTTCGGAAGAAAAGCAAAGACCGCACTGACGGCCGCACCTCCCCTCGCCAAGTTGACCTCCCAAAAGAGAGAGAGACATGAACAACACAAACGTGCCAACGCACAACACACAAGTGGCACACGCCTTGAATTTGAACTTCAGGGTGGTGGAGTCACAGGCCTACAAAAGGTGTGTGGAATCGTCACAACGAAGCCGAAAAAGGCACACCAAACACAACGTAATTATATGTGTAAAGACATGTTTGTTTGTAAAGTGTTTCTACTAGCAAACACATTGTTACTACTAGTAAGGCACTTGTTCCTAGTAGCGATGCACAGGTTCCTAGTAGCGAACCTTGTTTCTAATTTGGTTTAATTCTAATTTAATTCAATTCTAATTAATTGTAATTTAAGTCTAATTCTAATTGAATTGAATTTAATTCAAATTTGATTTAATTTAGCTTTAATTTAATTCTAATTTAATTTAGATTAATTCTGATTTAATTTAAGTTTAGTTTAATTTATTTCTAATTTAATTTAAATCAATTCTAATATAGTTTAATTCCTAATTTGATTTATTTGTAATTTAGTCTATTCTAATTCCAATTTAATTCAATTCTATTTGAATTTGATTCTAATTTAATTTAATTCAAATTCAATTTGATTCCAATTCTAATTCTATTTCATTCTAATTTGATTTAATTTAACTTAGTGTAATTTAGTTCTAATTGGATTTAACTTAATTCTAATGTAGTTCAATTCTAATTTAAATTAATTCTAATTTAATTGAGTTTAATTCTAATTTAATTCAATTTAAGTTTTTTAATTTAATTCTATTTTAAACTGATTCCAATTTAATTTAACTTAATTGATTTTTGATTTATTTAGTTCTAATTTATTTAATTTGATATAATTCTAAATTAACTCAGTTCAATTCTAATTTAAGTTTATTCTAATTTGACTTAATTCCAATTCAAATTAATCTGATTCCAGTTCATTTTTTTGAATTCTAATCTAATTTCATTCTAATTTAATTCAATTTAACTCTAATTTAATGTATTTCTAATTTGTTACTAGTAGTAGGCACTTGTCACTACTAGCGTGGCACTTGTTTCTAATAGCAAACATTGTTACTAATA